GGGAAAGAGGAGGTTTTTCCCATGGGATTTGACTTCCAGGCTCAAACACTTATTACTGAATTGGTTAAAACTGAAAGCCTCCAGGATGCCAACTTGTAAATTTACCACAGCTACTTACTACGGAAGAACCGTCTAGCGGTCATTTTCCTGTTGGTCTGTATTCCGTTGCTCAGCACACCCGAGAGATGGCTCAGACACTTTTCCTTTTGAAACACCTTGAAATCTTCATTATTTTATATGTATTTGTATCATAAAGTCAAGGGCAAAAAATGATATCCTATTTTTGGAAGAGAGACATATATCAGGGTGGCAAAATTGGTCTTTCATTAATGCAAGTATTTTAAAATTATATTAATACACACAGGTGTATGTAGATTTCAAATAGAAAATTATTTAATGAGTCAATATTTCTTTTTCTTTTTGCAGAACAACGGTTCCCTGGTTTGGTGCCAGAATCACAAGCAATGTTCTAAGGTACGTTCCCTGCAACTATATCAGTATTTTAAAAAACGTTTCATTTTGTAACGACTGTAAAGTCACAGGACAGTTGCCAAGCTAGTACAGAGAAATCACATGTACTCTTCACTCATTTCCCACCAGTGGTTACCCTTTACGTATATGTACAGCAATATCACAAGCAGAAAATTGCCTTGGTACAAGGTATGTATATAGTTTTATGAGATTTTATCACATGTATGGATTTAGTTAGTGTAGCCACCACTGCAATCAAGATACATATATCAACATTACTGTATACCACCTTATTTCTCTCTTTATTCTCTAATTATTTCAATCAAAAGTATTTTTAAGGAGAAAACATCTGATTACACGAGAAGATTTAATGCATTCTACTTACACCTAAGTTGTTTTGTATGCGTTTATTGTGTTTGTGTGTGGGAATTGCTCGTTCGCTAATCTCATTCTTTAACTAAGCAGTCTCTTTTCTATCTTTGAGTATTTCTTGTTGCACACACATGCTCTAAAGTTATCATTATACTCATTCATATGTTTCATAGCATAGATTTCTTACCTCAGTCCCCAAACATCACCATCTTTAAATATATGTTTATAGAGAGAGTATATATGTATGTATATGCTTTAGCTCCAGTCACAAAGTCGGTTTTATATTCAGATTATATAAGTGAATAAAGTTTAAACTTGCTATCAATACTGCAGCGCTTTGGGATTGTAATAGCATTTGATGAGATTTCTTTCATGGTTATGACTATTAGACCGAAAATTGAAGCGTTCCTTTATTTTACAACCAAAATTTCATCTGAGCAATACACAATAATATGAAACAGCATATTTATGAAGAACATTATTAGTCTGAAAGGTCTTTAAAACAAATTTTCTCAAAGTAAATGATTGTAGAATAATGTTCCTAAACCTAAAACTTCACTATAATGATACATTCTGACATTCATGCATGCATTGTGTCATTTAATCCGCATGAGCGTTATTAAAAGCAGAACAGGGGGCTTCCCTGGTGGCGCAGTGGTTGAGAGTCCGCCTGCCGATGCAGGGGACACGGG